GACTTGTCTCTTCAAGCAACTACTCAAAAGTTCTTTTAACATAAACCCTCTTCAAGCTTTAACAACCATGTATTTTTTTATAGTTAAGCTTCTTTAGGCTTAAAGCAATAACACAAATTACAATGTTATTTTGTCTTACTATCAAGACGTGATAAACTAATTAAGTACAAAGTTTTTTTAAAGAATATATTTTACAATGAGTGTTCTAAGTATCTCTTTAAGTGTTTGTATATGTCTATAAATCTTCAAACTTTTTTAAATAGATGCTTGGTGAAGATGACCGTTGTAAGTCCTTAAGCGTCTCTCATAAGTTTTCTTTGTTTGTCTTCATCTTCATTCATTACGGAGAAAAGTGTCTATTGATATATTAAATGTGAGCATTGAATATATTTCATCAAATTTTTACTTCTTATCAAATCAAGGAAGCTACTTATCACCTTTTAGGTAGCAAAAGAAAGAACTATGCATGTGTCAGTCAAAAACAACTTTCTCTAAGATTTTGCATGCTTGAGGGATAAGTTAGTCATTTTCCTTTGATGCAAAACATATCTTTTGTTTCTTTACAAAGTGTGAGTATTGAAGGAGCTTTTTATTCCTTTCGATATGTTAAGGAATATCATAAATAAAGATGATTCGATTATTAGACATCATAAATGGTATAAATATAGATCTTTTGTCTTATAGATGAAATGTTTCATTTGAGAGACATAGTGTTATAATAACTAATCATCTTATTGTATGATCTGAAAAACTTTCCTCTTGAAATATGCTCCAATTTGTTATCATTAAAACTTATAACCTGAGAGATCTAAGATCATCTTTTGACCTAACAAGCATCTACCTCTTTAGGCTAAGTCTTCACTCGTTTTCACAACATAACTATAGAGAAAAGAAAGTCACTAGAAGTGGGGTTGAATAGTGAATCTCAAAACTCACACTTTTTGCAAGAGAGTGAAGTAATATCTTCAACATATAAAGTGCTAAAAGAGTAATAAAAAAAACAATGAAATATTATACTAGTTTGTCTGAAATACAGAGACTACATCTAGTTCTCAATTCAACCAAATTAACTTTCACTAACTTTCTCAAAGTTACAAGTATTCTTTTCCAAGTCACTTCTAGCTCTTCAAGCCACTATCCAAATATTCTTTTACAGTCAAGCTTCTTCAAGCTCTACCCTATAACAATAGTTATTAAGGTATTACAAGGTTGTTATAATTATCTCTCTAAGACATGAATACAACAACTTTTTAGTACAAAGATTTTTCCACAAGACAAAAGCTATACATAACAGATGTGTATGTAAATGTTCTTGTATTTCAACTAAAGAACTTCTTTTTGTCTTGATTTTTAGAACTTCTTATATAATAGCTTTGGAGAAGATGACTGTCACAACACTTTGAGTCCAACTTACAAGTTTACTTTGTCTGTCTTCATTATCTTCCCTTATGGTGGCAGATAATTGTTAACACATTTAATAAGAGCACTAAATGCATTTAACCAAATAGTACCTCTTATTTAATCAAGGAGACTACTTATCAACTTTTCATATCAAATAGAGCTTGCAAAAGCAATGTCAACATATATCAACTATATCAATGACTTTATCTATTTTTTTCATGATTTTAGGGATTTGGTTCTGACGAAAAATATGATTCTTGTCTTTAACAAATTTTTGAGTTCCGAGAAAGTCTTTTGATTTGACTTATTAAGGGATGAAACATTCAAAGGAAACTTTGTTATTAGTTTCAATAAATGATAAATATTTAATGTATATTAGACAAACTATAAACTTTGTCGTATTAATAATCGTCTAACAAATGATCAACGTTTTACACTTCATCTTATAAGCTTTTCAAAGATATGTTTCAAAGACATTTTTCAGGCATTTCTTCTATGTAAAAAGGCTCTGTTTGTTAACATTAAAACTTTGAATTTAGGGAATCGTCTTTTGATTTAATAATAACATATAATTATGGTATTCAACATTTCACAATAATCTCACAATGGCAATCACAAGTTCATTCATCACTAGCATAAAACGACATAACACAAAAGAGCAAGAAATAGGATTTGCGCTTAGTATAACAAAACCCCACACTTAGTGTCATATTAGTAAGTGGTAGGTGTTTTTTTCTACAACATTCCCACTTAACACACTACTCTCATGCTTAGTGCCAAGATCATCATTGAAGGATAGTTTGCTCTCTAGAGATATCATGCTTAATATCACAAATAGGAAATCCTCACTATGGCTATGACACTTAGTGAAACATCACTCATGCTTAATGCCAACCCTCCAATAATCCTCTAGGGTTCTCACACTTAGCATGTCTCAGTTGCATTTAGTTGCATTTAGCACGATAACCTCTCACGTAGTATGATATCAATTTCTAATACGAACTAAGGGTCTAATTTCTTAATTTCAGCAAAATTATATTCAATTATGTATCCCTTCCTATAATAAATTCAACCTAATTGATTTTATTCTAAACAAACCCTAAACCCAACATTAGTATCAAAACCAATTATATATATAATAGTCTGATCATATAATTTCCAAAACCAACTCAATTTTAATCAAAGAAAAGTCATAATATTTACATAATATATTCAACTCACTTTATCAATGCCAATATCAATAAATTACAAATCCTAATTACCAAGAACATTCAAATCATCCTAATAACAAAGTAATTTAATGATAATTCAATTGACCACAATAAAATATATGAAAGAAAAGATGTATGAAATGTTCAACTCTTAAAATTATCCATAGGATTTTAATGATAATAGAGATTATCATTACATTTATGTGAAGTAAGTTCATCACCCAACGTTCAATGGTAGGTATAAGTATCCAAATCTCTTATCCTTTATGAGAACTTGGTAAAATAACTAACGTCCTAAAACTTGTTATATGCATCCAAAATCGCTTTTTACAAATATATATCCAAATGTCTTTTATAAATATCCAAAATTTTATTTAGGGAATTCTTATACATGATACTTACTACATTTTCATAACAACAAATGCAAAAATGTTTTTTTTTTTAAATTAGTGTCCAACTATATTGGATCCTTAAACGAATTTATGTTGATATGCTACAACATTTCGAATATCCTTCCATTTAATGAAAAAAGAGTTTTTTATGCATAAGTACAACCTTTAATCAAAAGAAAATGTGACATACGAGACGAGTACAAAAAGAAAGAGATAAATAAGAATGTTCTGAAAAACAATGTTAACATTAGAAGTTTGTAGCGCCATTTTGGTGAAGCTATACGACTAAGTCAGACTACTGTCCTCAAGTTAGAAACAAGTCTTCACTAACATAATGTTAAGAACTTTCCATGTATTAAATGAAAACTCATAATACAAGGAACAAGTGTCAAAGCATCCCTAACAAATTTCTCAAAAGGCACTAAAATACAAGTCTTAAAGAATTGATGAAAAAAATAATGATTCTAAGTGTTGAAACTCTCCTAAAATGCCTTCTAATCTTTTCATAAGACTTATCCTTACTCATACATCCATTGGATGATAACCCTCTAAATTAGAAAGTTTTTACCCTGTGCCTAAGAAAGTTGTCTATATTGTTCTTAACTTCTACATCCTCACTTTGCAAGATGATATATACTAAACATTTATTTGGTTGTGAAAGCATTGAAAGACTTAGAGAAAAACAATACTTGAGTTTTGTAGTCTTGTGATAAGATTATTAGTGTGTTTGGAAATACGTTTCCACATATTGAATCACGTTCGTCCGAGATCAAAAACGTGAAAATAAGAAGCAAAAAATTTTTACTTCTCCGTTAACGTGGTTTTCAAACGTGTATCCAAACATACTCTATAATCATAAGTGTTAAAAATGGTCTAGAGAATACTTGTGTTTTAACCAATTTTGGTTAGTGAAACCCTTTAAGTTTGAATATAACTAGATGTAGTTTAAGGATTGAGTGAACCAATATAAATTTTTTTAAGATTTTTATTGCAACCAAAAAATATAATAAATTTTCTTGTTTTTAGTATTATAACTTGTCCAATGTACAAAATAATTATTTATTTTATATAATTAAAATTCATAATAAATATATTTTTGATTATATATACTATGATAATTAAAATTTATAATAAATAAATAATTTAAAAATATAAAATTATGTTTTAAATTTAGGATAAATAATTTATATTGTGATATGAAATTATTTTTAACTATTGATAATCTTTTTCAAAAAAAATATATGACAATAAAACTCAAAAAAACTTTATGACTAGAATAATAAAATTAATATATATTTAGGACCAAAATAATAATAAATAATTAAATTTAAAGTCTTATTTAATATTATAAAGACTCATTTGACAAAATCTTAATTTCAGTAACCAATATTATAACGCCTTCTAACACTAAAGATAAAAAATTGGATGTTTACTTTATAACTATTTTATTTATAATTTTTTTTATTTTCTATAATTAAAAATATTCTATTTTAATTTTTGTACATATATTTTTTTGTTATCTTTTAGTTCCCGCAATATATTTCTAAAGAGATTAAAAATAAATTTACGTAATTATAAGAACTAAAATAAAAAATTTATGTAATTATATAAACTAAAATAAGTTTAAATAATTATAGGAATAAAAATGAAAAAAGAATATTACGAACATGAACTAAAATAAAAATTCTCTAATTATAGAGATTAAAATGTAACAATTTTCTTAAAATTAGAGGATACAAATTGAATTATCTTCTCTTCTTTTTACAAATCAACTAAATAAAGGAGAGAGTTGATAAGTCTTTACTTATTTCTTAATTGAAACATATTAGTCGAGTACGGAATTAAAAAAAATAAAAACAAAGGAAACGTTATGCTTTAAATTTAATTATCAACTTTGAGATATTAATTTTATTATATGTTTTAAAAGAAAAAACAGTTAAACAAGTGAAGACAGCATTTATAATTACCGAAAAATAAAAGTAGGTGGTGTCACTAGTGTGACTTATTTCTCACTTACCTCTTTCTGTGTTGTATCTGTGTTGCCTGTGTTTTTCCTCCCTCACTTCACTTCATATTCTCTCTGTCTCACTCGGAGCTTCTTGCAACGATGAACGCACCCATCATTGGTTAGTTTTCTTCTTCCCACTTCTCTCTCTTTTACCCTTTTTTTCGTGTTTGAGTTGCATTCATTTTCATTTTTTATCTTCTTTTCCTAAGTCCTGACATTGATGTTGTTGTTGTTGTTATTATTTTTGCAATATTGAAGACCCGTTACAGGGAGATTTCCCTGAAGTGATAGAGGAGTATTTGGAACATGGGTGTATGAAATGTATTGCCTTTAATCGTCGTGGCACACTTCTTGCTGGTAACTCTCACTTACCCTTTTTCTCAAAGTTAGGGTTCTTACTTTCTTATTCTTAAAAATTATTTTTTTATGCTTTTAAAAGCTTCAAAATGATTTTTTTTTCAAAAATGAAAATTATTGCAATTTTTTTTTTAGTATTCCTACTTTCAATTTTCGGTATTTTCCATGGCATATCTTCTTTTGCCACATATACTCTCCAAAAGTTGGTTTTTGAAATTGTCTTATGAAGTAATTCTTAAGAACTGAAACAAAACCAGAACCTAGGTTAGTGCTTCTTGTTTTGATGTTCTTTCTTGCAAGTGATGCTGCCAATCAGTGACATGGATTATGGTTGCTTTACCTGTTTCTAATTGCTCATGTACCGGAACTATGTGGTATGAAATGAATTATGTAGTTTGTTAGAATGTCTTGGTAATTATTGTGTATATGTAATGTTCGTTAGGGCCTTAAGAAGTGCATGGTTTGGTTGAGTTTGATTTGGGGGAAATAATCATTTATTTATTGAAACTAGTACGTTGACCCGTGATATGCACGTATTGCATTGGTCCATCGATATATCAAACTAAACATGATATGTACCAAAATGGCTTGTAAAAATAGTATTTGGAGTATACATCAAATTCATCGATATAGTTCATGGAATCATGGCTATTATACTAAGAAGTTGATATGGATGCGGGTGTCATTGTGTCTATTTGGGGTGTGTCACCAGTGAGGGTGGTTTGTGCAGTTGGCGAGTTAGCATAGTTGACCGGCGTGGAAGGTTGCAATTCAGAAAGGGTTGATATATAATAGTATTTTATTATTAATAATAATAATAGTACTAATACTAATACTAATAATAATAATAATAATAATAATATAACCGCAAAATCAATTATGGAGTGAGGGAAATGAAAAGAAAAATATGTAGGAATGGGCGGGAAATAAAAATGATGAGCAGTTGACACATGTCTAGTCAGAGTCATTGGAACATCAGTTGCCTAGATTATAAATTACAATGCAGAAATTTTTCTAAATTGTGTTGATGGCTATGTGTATTTTGCATTGCTATTCAAGTGAACAGAACAACCGGTAAACTATCAAATCTAAACCTTTGTAATGGTTTCACTTGATCTTCCTTTACCTCTCATTATTTTATTTATTTGGCTATCCTCCACCTTATCAAATCTTTGTAGTGGGGCACTATGGCTTCTATCTTCTTCTTTTTTTCACATAGCCAAACCATCTTAGGCAAGCTTCTACCATTCTTTTAATACTAAGCTGTAAGCATTACTCTTTCTTTAACTCTAATAAGTTCACTCTTGATCTTATCTTTTCACATGCGATTTTTAATTTTGTTGCACATGATATGTATGTCATGGTTGATGGTTAAATTCATGGCATGGCTTTCTTCTTAATATCTAAATTTCATATAGAAAAGTTCAAGAAGCTAAATTTCTAAGCAAGTACTGCCCAATGTGATGGTTAAATTGTCATTGGAATTAGTATTATTCTATTTTCTGGAAAGCATGGATGGAATAAATAGCTCAGCATCAAAGACCTAGCTAAAATTTGGTTGTTAGATAAGATTTGGGGTCGCAGTGAATGTGTTCCATTGTGCATCTGGTATGTCAAGGATTGGATAATTTTGTTTACCCTTACAATTGATGTTAAAAATTACATTGGTTGCAAATTGGTTTGTTTTTGTGACTGGTCGTGTAATGCAATGGGTATCATATATGTTGCAAGCAAGGTTATCAAACTTGAGAGTCTATGTAAACACGTGGAGCTTCTGTAGATTCGACTCATAGGCTCGACTTGTAAGAGTTACTTTATATAAAAATAACATTAAAAATCCTACTATTGACATATATTCATATCATAATAATCTTAATTGCAAGTGGTTGCTTTTTGATGAATACGTGCTATATATCATGTGATTCTCTACCTTTACTGGTTTGCAATTTGCCAGAGACTGGACACTGATATTGGTGAACCATTTTTTATTAAAAATTATCCTATGTAAGGTATTGTGTTTGGACTTGCTGGTCAATGGAAAACATGGATAATGGAAAGTTATCTTGTGCAACAGTCAATCTTCTGACAATAAGGTGGAAGAGGTTCAGAGGGTTGTTGAGGATATGCCTGGTTTAAGTTGAGGATTTGTTTAAGGTGGTAATTGTCATATGTTGCTAATGCCGGACATGATGATCTGGAAAGGAAGATGATGTTGTCTCTGTTAGTGCTAATTATTTGAAGAATTTTGGTCAACGAGCATGCAGAATGTTTTGGGACCTATGTTGTCATAGAGGCTTAGTGCCACTGCCACTACAGTGACGCTGTTGCGTCACATTTTAACATTGCAGCTGGAGCAGCTGTGAACTGGCGGAGCGGACTGGTGCAGAGCGGGTCAGGGTGGTATGTGAAATTTCAATAATACCCTCACTTAATGTGGGTATTTTTGTCTTTCCACTTTCAAATCTTTTTTCCTTTTCTCTTTTTTTGTGTCGACCTTGTGTGTGCACCCTACTGGCTCATCGTCGATCTTGTGTGTGGGTACCAAAAACATCTTGTTTCCAGCAGGTCTTTTGTTGCGAGTTGCGACTCCGCAAGTCTCTCTTTTTTGTTTGGAGTTTTTTTCTTTCCTTTTTTTGCTCCCTTTTCTTTTCTTTTTTTCTTTTCTTCCCTTCTTTTCCATTTTCTCTTTCTTGCTGGCATCAGCAATTTTTATTATTCTTTTCATTGTTTTTACTTGTGTGGTTTTGTTCTTTGGTGGTGGTTGGCAAAACCATGGCCCAACCAAATGATTAATGCATTAATTTTGAGTAGTTTTTCTGTTTTTGAGCTTTTAAATATATAAAATTAATTTTTTAATTTATACATATAATATTAGAATAGTGGTCATTCTGCTATCCCATTGTTGAGGTCGGCAGATCCACTCCGCTATCGAGGATTAACAACTATGGTTGAACTAATATGGACATATACACTGACAGTTAGAGGGGATTAAGTCATAATGCAGTATTGGCACTCAAGCAAACTCCCAATGGGATCTGGTTGAAGGTAGCACAATTAGATCATAGGGCTTTTGTACCAACTATTTCCTTCTGATTTTTGTAGTTCTTTCTTTTGATACGTAGACTTATATTGCATACATGTGCCTATATATTTATTTGAATATGGGGTGTATAAATATTATGGCAAGTGTAAACTTTTATGAATTATTAATTGGGGGTATTATACATTATCAACTTTCTCACTCTTGATTTGATCCATTGAATCAGCTGGGTGCAATGATGGAAGTTGTGTTATCTGGGATTTTGAAACCCGGGGCATTGCTAAAGAGCTACGAGATGATGAATGTTCGTCTCCAATAACCAGTGTCTGCTGGTCAAAGTGTGGTAATCGAATTCTTGTATCTGCTGCTGACAAGTCATTGTCACTCTGGGATGTTATGAGTGGTAAGAGGATAACAAGAATAGTTTTACAACAAACCCCTCTACAAGCTCGTCTTCATCCGGGTTCCTCAAAACCATCTCTTTGCTTGGCATGTCCTCTCTCATGTGCTCCAATGATCATTGACTTGAACACAGGAAATACAACTTCGCTTAAAGTTTCTACCTTGGAGGTATCCGATAATGGACCAGCCCCTGGCTCACGTAACAGGTGCACTGATGGAATTACATCCTTCTCACCAACTGCTGCATGTTTTAGTAAGCATGGCAACCTGGTTTATGTGGGAAACTCAAAAGGGGAAATTCTTGTTATTAACCATATAGATGGTGGTGAGGTGCGTGCCATGGTTCCTATCCCTGGTGGTTCTGTAGTGAAGAACATTGTGTTCAGCAGGAATGGACAGTATCTTCTAACAAACTCAAATGATCGAATAATCAGGATCTATGAAAATCTTCTACCTTTGAAGGATGAAGTTAGAGCACTTGATGACCTGAATGAGAGCCTCAATGATCAGAATGGTGTTGAGAAGTTGAAGGCTGTAGGATCAAAATGCCTAACTTTATTCCGGGAGTTTCAAGATTCGATCACGAAGGTGCACTGGAAAGCACCCTGCTTCAGTGGTGATGGTGAGTGGGTTGTTGGTGGTTCTGCCAGTAAAGGAGAACACAAGATTTACATTTGGGATAGAGTTGGGCATCTTGTTAAAATCCTTGAAGGGCCTAAGGAAGCCCTTATTGATTTAGCATGGCATCCTGTACGTCCTATTGTTGTATCTGTTTCTTTGAATGGCATAGTTTATATCTGGGCCAAAGATTACACCGAGAACTGGAGTGCATTTGCTCCTGACTTCAAAGAGCTTGAGGAAAACGAGGAGTATGTGGAGCGAGAAGATGAATTTGATTTGATTCCTGAGACTGAGAAGGTAAGGTAGTGTTAGATGCTCATGCAGGTCTTTTTATTTTTATTATATATATATATTTACATGTCAATTTTTAGTCCTAAGTTCACATCTCTGCAGGTAAAAGCGTCTGATGTTAACGAAGATGACGAAGTTGACATTGTAACGGTGGAGAAAGATCCTGCTTTCAGTGACTCTGATATGTCTCAAGAAGAGTTGTGTTTTCTGCCAGCAACTCCCAGTTGTGATGCTCCTGAACAGCAAGACAAGTTCATAGAAAGTTCTTCAAAATTGGTGGACAGTAATAACTCTGGATCCCCTCTTTCAGAAGAGGCGGGACCAAATGAACATACCATGAATCATAACTCAAGTCCAGTTGAAGGTAATGTCTAGCCTTGCACTATATGATTGTAACTGATTATTTGGATTCTTAAGAATCCTGATTTTTAAAAGAATTTAAATATGTTTTTAGTCACTGAATTTTTGTCAATTTTCATTTTTAGTCTTTAAATTTTTTTTCCCGTTAACATTTTGGTCGCCGGTGTCAAAATTTTTTGTTCATAGAGAAAAGTTTCAGAGACAAAATTTTTTGTTCATAGAGAAAAGTTTCAGAGACAAACTAAATTAAACTTGTTCAAAGACCGAAAACAAAAATTTACAGAAGTTTAGTGACAAAAAATATATTTAATCATTTTTAAAATGAAGAAAAAGAACTATTGAACCACCAATATGTAACTCTGGCAGCAAATTTATTTTTGGTTTCTTCCTGATGTTGTGTTTGAAATTTCACCACTCAAGTCTCAACTACATAGACTCTGTTTTTAAAAGAAGATAATATCGTCTGTGCAATTTTTACATACAGCCTTATTTGTTTGCAGATGATGCTGGGGGAGCACGAATCAAGAGAAAGAGGAAACCTTCAGAGAAGGTGTTGGAGTTGCAGGCAGAGAAAATAAAGAAACCATCAAAATCTAGCAAATCTTCAAAATCCAAAAGTAAATCTCTGGTTGATGAGGATGATGGTAATGGTTTTTATGGTGATGCATTTTCTGATGAGTAATGGCTTGTAAATTCTTGTACATAAAAAAGCATGTTTTACTAGAATTTGTCTTTGTTTGTGTTTCACTTTTGTCAATCTTCTCTCTCCATCCCTGCCCTAATTTTTGAAGTTGGCGTTGGTTTACTCTAGTAAAAAATAACTGATGCTATTATTATTATTATTATTTACTAGCAAGAAAAAGGCACTTTGTGCTTGCATTGTATTAAAAGAAAAAAAATAAATAAATAAAAAGAATGAGAAGTTACTTATAAAAAAAAGATAGTTATTAAAAAATAAACAAATGATAAAATGGTTTATGTAAAAATAAAAATTAAAAGTAGTTATTGAAAATGGTATTTTTTTTATATATTAGTATAGACTATTATTATTAGTATTAATATTATGTTGAGCATGTTGACTCAAAGAATTAATCTATAAATTCATGGTTAAATTGTAATTTCGGTTTCTATTTTTGTCAATTCATTATTTTGGTCTTTATTTTAAAAGGGAGATATTTAGTTTCTCTATTTTTAAAAATATGAAATTTTAATTATATTGATTGTTAAATTTTGACCTGGTTTTAGTGATTTATCATCACTTAAATAATGTGATATTTAGTGGTGTGGTATGTAGAAATGAAAAATTAAAAATATCATACAAAATGCAATATATTTGTTTATATATCTATTTTAACAAGTGATTAATATTTTTTTATCAATAAATCTTATTTATGTTTTTTATTTTTAAATTTTTAAATATTATGTTACTAAATATCATATTATTTAATTAAGTAAAAACGTTAAAACTTAAACAATTAATGGATATAATTTTGATAGGAGGGTCAAAATTTTGTATTTTTTTTTTTAAATTAGAGGGATTAAATGTTTCTATTTTAAAATAGAGGAATTAAAATTGTAAATAAAAAAAAGACCAAAAGAAAAATTTATATCTCCTTTATAAGTGATTGCAAAATATTTTTAACTAAATTATTATTATGAATAATTAAGGGTTAGTATATGGATCAAGGTTTTGCGAACTAATTCCCTAAGTTCACGTCTAAAGTAGTTTAATTATATCGAATTTTTTGGCTTGACTCATGAACTTTAGGTATTTTGCCAGTTTAATTTATAAAGTTGCAAGTTAACATGCTTAATAATAATATTTTTTTAAGGTACTGAGACTTTGATATGTATTTGGTATATCTAGATTTTTAAATTTTCAAGACAACAAATTCTGATGTTTTGTTAGTGTATTTGAATTTTAAAATTTTTAAGAGATTAAAACTTTGATGTTTTTTTAGAATGTGTAAACATTGATATGTTAAGTCTTTGATCTATTATTTAAAATGTTTTATTTTTATTACAAATGTAATTATATTTTTTAGTATGTATTTCTTTTCTTTTTCATGTTTTTATAGCTTAAAAAAGGAAAGAAAAAAATCTCCTTCAATTTGAAATTTTTTTTTTATTTTTAATTTTTCATATTTTCATCAGGCTTACAAATTGGCTAATTTATCTATAGCCTTTATGAGATAAACACAATTTTGAAACTTTTTATTATTTATTTTGAGGATCAAACTTATCAGATCTATTAAAAATACAGATTTTGTAAATCAAATTTTAAACGAATTAGACTGATGTGGATATTCACACTTATCCTTATGAATAATAAATAGTTTAGACTTCAAACATATGTTGATATGAAAAAAATTAATTTATAAACAAATACAAGTTACATGTTATATGGTTGTCGTTGTATTTTGGTGTATTACTTTGTTCTTGTTATTTTTCTTTTATTCTTATACAATGTGGCACAAGTTGTGTGATTGGGTTATTTTTATATAAGAAATAAATGATAGTGTAAAATATATTGTTTATTTCTTATAAAAGAGATACTATCATTTGTTTCTTATAATTTTTTTTTTTTTAGAAGTATGATATAAAAAAAATTTGTGAGCCAAAGATATTTCTAACATATACATCTCATTAAAGTGAACTTTTCTTCATACAAATAGTTGGATAATTAAACATATATTAACATGCTTAAAGAATATCTATCAATTGTGCTAAACCGTTTTAGTGTGTGGTACAATTCTAATATCACCTATAACTCAAAAGCCAAAAAGTTCTCACTTTTGGTCCCAAATATTTTTTTTAAAAAAAGTTAATAATCTATAACTATAAGAAAAGAATATCCCATTTTTGTGTTCATATTTTATTAGGTCATTTAACCCTTTAACTAATTTTTAAATCACCCACTACATCCATTATTTTTTATCTTCATTTTTTATTTAACCTCCTCCTATCCTCTCTTTCTTTTCTATTTATTTTTTTTAAAAGGAATGAATTGCCTTTGTTTCCTCTAGTTACTTAATAGATAATAACGTTGCCTATTAAGAGTAATTAAATATATGTTTTTTTTCCATAAAATAACCTCTCATTCTATTATAATAGTATTTGATCCATCTTATTTTAGGTCTCTCTCTTCCTGGTTTAAGAGGACATTTATAGTATGCCTTATAAAGGAGAGGGGAAAAGGGGTTAAAAAAAAGAATTAATCATCTATATATTGTCAGTGTAAAGTTTTTTTATACTGATAATTAATTATATCTTTTAATTGTGTCATGTCACTGTTAAAAGTAAATATGTTTACAGTGACATAACATAATTAAGAGATATAATTAGTTACCAACGTAAATTTTTTTTACACTGAGAGTGTATAAATAATTAACTCTAAAAGAAAAATTAGTTAGAATGGGCAAAATATTTCCTTATATAGGCCTATAGAAATGCTGGGTTGGTAGGAACTATTTATATGGCTACACATTTACAGCAATTGAAGGATGACCTAAACCACACTTTAACTCATAAAAATATATTGAAAAGCCATTTTAATAATTATATGCACGTGGTGGGATTTACGTATATAATATTCAAATTTTAGTGTGATTATAATTTTGATTAGGGATGACAAAAATACCCGCACTGGCGGGTATCTGTGGATAAAACCCGCTACAAATAATAAATGAATACGCTAATTGGGTACCCGCGAATAATGGGGACGGATAATTTTTTACCCGTTTATAAATGGGGCAGGGGCGGGTATGATGATATCCATACCTGCGGGTACCCGTTTAATATTATTTCTTAAATATCCTAATTATCCTTGTACTGCATAACTCTAAAACTACACTCTCATCTTATTTTCTTACAAAAGTGAGGTTGATGAAGTTACCGATATGTGTTAAGCATGTTATAGAATTATGTTGGATGTAATTTGATTAATTTTCTAGCTTTGATTGGACCAATAAGATTTATGTATTTTAAATTATTTACTTTCATTTGCAATTATGAGATTGAATTATTGTAGTTTTGTGATGAGACTTTAACTTATTTGTGAGATTGATGTATTTTAAGTTATTGATTATCTTGAATTTTTATTATTATTTCAACAAAATTAACGTTAAATAAAAGTTCAAAATTAACATTGAATTTTTATTTTTAATATTTCAATGACATTAAAATATAAACTTAAAATTATTTGTAATATAATTTTTTTAATTTCTTAAAAATTTTATAAATATCCATGGATATCCGTG